GAGCCTTAGTATATGGTAAGATTTGAGCTCCTTCGGTTTAAAGTGAAGCTTGGTCAAATGGACAGCTCAAGAGCAAAGACTGTGACACTGCGAAGGTCATGTGGGACACGCTGGTTGGGGCAATGTAGCAGAACAGACGTCCACACAATCTCCGTCCAGTATAGCACAACTGAAAATGCTGATTATTTAAAAAAATTGTTCTAATGCTTTGCTCAGCTGACAAGAAATTTAAAAAGCTCCACACGGCCAGAGATGAAAAGCACAGAAACAAGTGGCCCGGGAATGGGAACGGGCAGTTGCTTGGGCAAATACGGTCGTTTCTGGAATCTCCACCCTGTTAATCGGCTCCATGCAGAGCACAGAAGACAAAGCATGGGGCCCCTTTCAAGTAAAAAGTCAGAGGACACGCTGTCTTACACCAGGTACCTGCAAAGGGTGCCTTCCTCAGAACGTGAAATGGGCAGAAAACAAAATAACAACAAAACCTGTCCCATTGAAAGAATAACATAGGTCACTCTTAGCCATGAACTCTGGGTTCCAAAAGAAGGAAAAAAGTCTAACCTGTGTAGAAATCTATTCTACCTCTGTTGCCTAAAATGTCTCAGGCCAAAAATTCAGTAAAAGGGGCCCTGTGACAGTGGTGGCCACACCAACGAAAGCAAGCACAATAATCCTGGGCCTGACCGATCTGTGCAGATGAAATCCTGAGAAATGTGGCCTCACAAAGTGCAGACATGAGAAAGAAACTTCCCTGAAAGAGTCACAGTGGGAACAAATGTAAAGGGTCAGACTAAATACTGTAAGAATCAGGTACAAAACAGAACATGAAGTACGTTTTTTGACCTAATAAACTGTACCTTACACAAACACACACACACACACACACACTACTACAATATGCAGTAGTCACTCTAATCATTCTTTAAAAATCAGAGAAAGTATAAGGATTCCTTCTCATTACTTTTATTCATCATTATTTCTTTTTAAACCTTTTTTCTATTTATTGATTTTTATTTATTTGAAAGGCAGAGAGACAGAGAGAGACTGAAGACAGAGAGAGAGAGAGATCTTCCATCCTCTGGTACCCTCTGTTTCACTCCTCAGCAGCATGCCAAAGCCAGGAGCCAGAACTCCACCCTGATCTCCCACGTGGGTGGCGCCGGCACCTGCTGCCTCCCAGGGTACGGGTTAGCAGGAAGCTGGGATCAGAGCACGGTAGCCAAGACTCAGACTCGGCACTCTGATACAGGATCTGGGCGTCCCAGACAGCATGATGGCTGTGCAGAAGCCCACCCCTCATCACTGTTTCCATTCATTCTTGTACAACAGGTGGCTGTCAGTGGAATTAAAAGCAGTAATTAAAACATGTGTGTGGAAAGGAAGAAACAAAACTGTCATTCGGCACAGACAACAGGATAAACTTCATAGAAAAGTATGAGAATTATTAAATTATCATTTCAGCCAGGTAAAAATGAGTGTAAGATCAGCATATAAAATGTGTCAGAAAATCACAGCTCAGCAGTAAATAGTTAGATAAAAACACTTTTTTTAAAAAATGTCATTTATCATTGCAACACAAAAGTAAAGTAGATAGGAATAAGTCTAAAAGGTGACATGCAAGATGCTAAAAAAAAGACTATTTTAGTTTAAGACATTAACGACCCAGATAAAAGGAGAAATACAATGTGCTCAGCAACAGGGGTACCATATGCTCATGTTAGTTTCCTTCACATGCAAGTAGTAGAATTCTGTCAAATACTTAATGACTTTTTCATGGACATGAAAATCTGATTTTTAACATTTATTTAAAAGAGTAGTAGCCAGCAAAGGCCGAGATACATCTAAAGAAGAATCAGGAGGGGTTTGTGCTCAGACAATACCAGATCTTGTGACAAAGCTACAGTAACTAGGAAGGTGGGAGCGTGGTACAGGAAGTGACAACTGAAACAAACGAAAGTACCAAGCCAAGAAAGAGACTCACAAGGACACAGAAATGTGTTCAGTCAGGGTAGGGAAAGACTGAGAAGTTTGAGACAAGCAGTTATCCACACCAGGTGTGGGCAAGCACAGCCCACAGGTTCAATCCAGCAAGACCCCCATTCTCGTAAGGAAGGTTTTATTAGGAGGCAGCCATGCCCATTCGCTTACATTTCTCCTTGGCTGCTTTCAAGCTAGGATGGCAAAATTAAGTAGTTGCCGCAACCAAGACCATATAACTTGAAAGCTTTAAATATTTATCATCTTGTCCTTTAATTTGCTGACCTCTGTGGTTCATATGGGAAAAAAATCAGAATGAATTCCTACCTTCTATCTTAACAAAAATCAATTCAAACAAGAGCCAGCATCGTGGCAAAGCAGGTTAAGCTGCCTGAAATGCTGGCATCCCCTATGGGTGCCTGTTTGAGTCTCAGTTGCTCCACTTCTGATCCAGCTCTCTGGTAATAAGCATAGGAAAGCAGCAGAAGATGACCCAAGTCCTTGGACCCCTGCACACACATGGGAGAAGAAGCTCCCGGCTTCTGGCTTTAGCCTGACCCAGCCTTGGCTGTTGCAGCCATTTGGGAAGTGAACCAGTAGATGTAAGATTCATATTCTCTCCTTTCCCCCCTCCCGCCCTCTCTCTCCTCCCACTCTAGCTCTGCCTTTCAAATAAATAAATATGTAAAAAAAAAAAAAACTGAATTCAAACAAATGAAAAATGTACATGGAGAAATCAAAACTTTAAAACAACATAAAAGAATTTACAGAAAAAAATATTTCTATGATTTGAGGGTAAGGAAATATTTGTTAAATAAGACACAAAAAAACAAATCATAAAAGAAAAAGCCCACACCATTCTAATTCATTAGCATTAAGAACTTAGTTCCTCAAAGACATTATAAAGAGAACAGAAACCAAACCACAATCAGAGGTAAAAACATACATGCACATGAGATGAGACATATCCAAGAATGTTTACTGAAATAGTGTTCCTGATAAGGGGAAAAAAAAAAAAAAAAGGAGGTGGAGACTGGAAAGAAAGGACTAATGTCAGCTGGTATTAAATTCATAAATTGTGATATATTCATACTACAAACAATATGCAACACGAAATTATAATGAATATATATATATATCTTCATCTACAAGAACAGGATCCACACTTAATTAAACAAAGTAAGTACCAATTGAATTTATAAAATATTTTAAAAATCAAAAGTAAATACTTTGTCATTTAGAGATACACAGATATATAGTAAAACTATAAAGAAAAGCAAAGATACCATTTCTTAAAACATTTTTTAAAAACTTTAAAAAGAGTTGTTTTGTTGGTTAGTAGTGGCAAGCAGATGTACTTTGGGAGGAACCCAAAGGAGGTTTCAAACACTTGTCTTGGAAACTGAATGGTATTGACATGTGTATTTATTTTATTAGTAGTATTTGCCCTATTAATATAAGAGGTCCTTCCACTTTGTGGAAATAGATACAATGAAAAAGCTATGAAATTTGCAAATATTTTGGACCAAAATAAACCCACACTAACTTGTTACAACATGACTGAACAGGATCTAGTTTAGCACTCTAAGAAGGATAAGATATCAGTTGAAAGCTGTCCCTATCAGAGCAAAATGTATTCTGCTAAAATAAAGCAAAAGTAAATGTGAAGGTTGGGTGGAACAATAAAATCACTGACACTTCACAAAGTTTATGGGGACAGTGCCCCAAAGAAATCAAGTTTACAAAGGGGTTACTCATTTTAAGAAGGGATAAGATAATGTTGAAAACGAAGCCCACGGCAGCAGTCCATTTGCATCAGTTTGTAAGCAAAAAATTGACTTCATTCATGCCCTAAAGAAGGCTACTGAGTAACAAACAGCCAACACCAGAGATAGCTCAGAGGGTCCAGCTTACCTAAGTCTCACTGAAAAATAGTTTGAGCAAGCTTTCCGCAGAATGGGTGCCAAAATTGTGCCCGCATCAGATTAATCAAGAGAGATTATAATGGGCACGATAAACAAGTGGAACCAAGATCCTGAAGCATTTCTTAGGAAGATGGTAACAGGAGATGAAGCATGGCTTTACCAGTATGATCCTGATGACAAAGCACAACCAAAGCAATGGCTACCAAGAGGTGGAAGTGGTCCCATCAGAGTAAAATGTGGCAGACAAGGCCAAGCTTTCTGGGGATGCTCAGGGCATTTTACTTGTTGACTTTCTGGAGGGCCAAAGAATGATAACATCTGCTTATTATGAGAGTGTTTTCAGAAAGTCAGCCAAAGCTCTAGCAGAAAAATGTAGAGTTTTCCTCCACCACAACAGTGCCTCTGCTCTCATCAAACAAGTGCAATTTTGTAAGAGTTTCAACAGGAAATCAGTAGGCGTTCACCAAACAGACCTGATTTTGCCCCTTTGTTTTGTTCCTTCATCTGAAAAAACTTTCACAAGGGTACCCCCTTTCCTTCAGCTACTCATGTAAAAACAATTGACCTGGCCTGGTACATCCCACAGACCCTCTGTTCTTCAGGAGTGGACTGGACGGCTGGTGCCATTGCTTACCTGAGTGTCTAGAACTGGATGGAGCTGATATTGAGAAATAAAGGCTGTGTTTTTTAATCTTTTGATTTCATTTTTCCACAAATCTTTTCACCTCTCCTCAAATTCACCATACATATTCATTAGTGTGCATGCTATAGCTCACGATAAAGAAGAAAGGAAACCAGCCAGGCAGCTGAGTTTAAAGCTGAACAGAAGGGGCCTCTGGTTCAGTAGACACTGACTGGTCAGAAGCATTCTCATTTTTCTTAAGAATTTATTTAGTTATTTGAGGCTGGCGCCGCGGCTCACTAGGCTAATCCTCCGCCTAGCAGCGCCGGCACACCGGGTTCTAGTCCCGGTCGGGGCGCCGGATTCTGTCCCGGTTGCCCCTCTTCCAGGCCAGCCCTCTGCTGTGGCCAGGGAGTGCAGTGGAGGATGGCCCAGGTGCTTGGGCCCTGCACCCCATGGGAGAACAGGAAAAGCACCTGGCTCCTGGCTCCTGCCATCAGATCAGCGTGGTGCGCCGGCCGCGGCGCGCCGGCCGCGGCGGCCATTGGAGGGTGAACCAACGGCAAAGGAAGACCTTTCTCTGTGTCTCTCTCTCTCACTGTCCACTCTGCCTGTCAAAAAAAAAAAAAAAAAGAATTTATTTAGTTATTTGAAAGGAAGAGTGATGAAGGATGTGGGAGGCAGAGGGCTCTTCCATCCACTGGTTCACCTTCCAAATGGCCTCAAAGGCTGCGACTGGGTCAGGCTGAAATCAAGAGCCAGGAACTTCTGGGTCTCTGTGTGGGTGGCAGGGGCCCAAGCATTTGTGTCACCTGCTGTTGGTTTCCCGGGTGCATTAGCAGGCAGCTGGATGGGAAGTAGAACAGCCAGCATTCACACTGGTACTCTAATATGTGATGCTAGAATAGCCAGTAGCAGCCTAACCCACTGAGTCACAAAGCTACCCCCAGCTCCTATTCTTATTTTTAAATTATGATAACTAAGACATAATAATTTGTTGAGAGGCCAGTGTTGTGGCTCAGCTGGTTAAGCTGTCACCTGTAATGCCAGCCTCCCAAATGAATGTCAGTTCAAGTCCCCAGTGTTCCACTTCTGATGCAGCTCCCTGCTAATGCCCCTGAGAAAGCAGAAGAGGGTCCAAGATCTCCCCTCCCAACTAGGTGGAAGACCCGGATGGATTTCCAGGCTCCTGGCTTTGGCCTGGCCCTGAACCAGCCATTGTAGCTATCTGGGGAGTGAACCAGCAGTCAGATTTCCCTCCCTCTCTTTCTCTCTGTCTCTCCTTCTCTCTGTAACTCTGCCTTTCAAATAAAGAAATCTTTTTTAAAAAAAGAATTGTGGCCGGTGCCATGGCTCAATAGGCTAATCCTCCGCCTGCGGCACTGGCACACCGGGTTCTAGTCCCAGTCGGGGGGCTGGAATCTGTCCCAGTTGCCCCTCTTCCAGGCCAGCTCTCTGCTATAGCCCAGAAGTGCAGTGGAGGATGGCCCAAGTGCTTGGGCCTTGCACCCGCATGGGAGACCAGGAGAAGCACCTGGCTCCTGGCTTAGGATCAGCATGGTGCACCGGCCGCAGCATGCTGGCCACGGCAGCCATTGGAGGGTAAACCAATGGCAAAGGAAGACCTTTCTGTCTCTCTCTCACTTTCCACTCTGCCTGTCGAGTAAATAATAATGAAAAAAAAAAAGAATTGTTATAGTGTCTATAATGCAGTCTAATTCTGTATTGAGTGTATGTTGAATGCATATGTAAATAAGTGACTGCATGCGCAGCTGTCCTCTACAGGGGTGATCTGGTGTCTGGAATCTGTTAAGATTCCACTTGTGATCTCTAATGGCTTATACTTTTCCATTTGGCTCTGAGTACAAGACAAAATTCTCTGGTGATGAAAAGTATCTCATAGCATTCGACTCATATAGCCTAGGAGATTAATTCTGTTTCTTAAGTACACACATAGCCTTAACAACAATTTGTAAGGGGTGGGCATTTGGCACAGCAGTTACAGCACTGCTTGGGATGTCTGTGTCTCATGTCAGAGTGCCTGATTCAAGTCCTGGCCCCACTTTCAGTTCTGGCTTCCTGCTGATGGGTACCCTGGGAGGCAGCAGGTGACAGGCCAAGTACGTGCGTCCCTGTCACCCATGTGGAAGACCCAGACGGAGTTCCAGGCTAGCCCTCAATGCTGCAGGCATTTGAGTAATGATGTTCTTCCAGTGGGTGGAAAAGCACCTCAGATCTACCTATCTGTCTTGTCTATCATCTATCTATCTTTGACTCCATGCCTTGCAAATGAAAACTAATTAATCATTAAAAAAAAAAGGAAACAACTTGTAAAACTGTATTTTACTTGTATTTTGTAGAAGAAAGGCATTCATATTTTCAGGAGACTGGAAGCATATAAGAGAAAAATGAACAAGAGTGGGGAGGATTTTTCGTTGTCCTCCTTTTCCCTAACCTTTGTAGATAGAAGACAGGAAGTGTGATCCAGGACAAAAGAACTTGCAAAACAAGATTAAACTGCACTAGTACACATATCCATTAAAAAAATAAAAATAAAAAAACCTGGGTGACTTGCAAAGTGCAGCCAAAAATTAAGAGTTATTCAAAACAAATGCACATACAAAATAATGAAATCCTATGGGTACAGACTGGTTTATCCTTTATAAGCAAAAAGGATAAAATAAGAATACATAAAAAGAGATGTTAAAAATGTTTTGTAGCATAAAGGATTAAGCCGCTGTCTGCAGCGCCAGCACCGCATATGGGTGACAGCTTGAGTCCCGGCTGCTCCACTCCTCTCCAGCTCCCTGCGAATGTGTCTGGGGAAGCAACAGAGGACAGCCCAGGCACGTGGACCCCTGCACCCACATGGGAGACCCAGAAGAAGCTCCTGGTTCCTGGCTTCAGTCTGGCCAGGCTCGGCTGTTGCAGCCGTTTCAGGAGTGAACCAACGGATGGAAGATCTCTCTCTTTCAAATTAAAAAACAAAGTGTTTTCACACTTTGAAAAGTTATTCTGGATAAGTTAGAAAAGGAAAAGAAAAGAAAACACAAACCTAGGGCAGATGTCCTTACCTTATCCTGAGGACCAGAGGGCAGAGCAGAGTCACCCCCCTCCCCACCCCCGGCTGGGGCCACCACAGACTGCTGCCCACTCACGCGGGACTCAGTGGGAACCAGACTCTCTCAAGTCTTTTTCACACTGAAAAGTACAATCCCAACTTTTCATGTTGGGAAAACAGCAATGCAGGCCTGTAGGTTTACCCCATCAAAGTTTATCTTGCTCATTTCTGCCTTTTTTTTTTTTTAATTCTATTAGAATTTTTGTTGCAGTTTTGTGACTGCAATGCACGTTCGAATGCTGTCGGCTCTGTGCCATCTGCAGGAGTGCTGGGCCTATCTGCACATCTAATTATGATACGGGACAGGGCACAGGAGGTGGCAGCCAAACTCGGTCTTTTAAAATTTATTTTATTTATATTTAAATGTAAAAGTTATATTTATTTAAATAGATTTTATAAAAAATGTTTTATTATGTATTTATTGAAAGCAAGAGAGACAGAGAAAGACAGTATCCCTTCTGCTAGTTCACTCCCAAATATCTCTACAGCCACGGCTGGGCCAAGACAAAGGCAGGAGCCTAGAATTCCACCTGAGTCTCCCACATGGGTGGCAGGGACCCGAACACTCGGGCCATCCTTGCTGTCTCCTAAGGTGTGCATTAGCAGAGAACTGGACTTGGGAATGGAGCCAGGCCTCGAATTCAGACACTGTGATATGGGAGGTGGCCATCCAAAGTGGTGAATTAAACTGCTACACCAAACGCCCACGCCTAAAACATCATGTGGTTAAAGATCCAGTTCTCCCAGATGGAATGCAGAATAAGGGCTACTAAATTCCATGGTCCCTGCCATTGAACAAAGCACCTGGTGACTTAATGGCCAGAGGTGAACTGAGATGCACAGAGCTCCAAGGGAGCCCGGGAGAAAAACAAAGCTCAGCTGTCAGAGCTAACATGGTCTACTTGGAGCAGTGTTCGCTGTGCCAGCACTCCTGTCAGTAAGAACGCCACACAGGTACTTCAAAAGGTTCACAGGAGATGTGCACTATGAAAAAAAAAAAACTGTACAGATTTCAAAACTGCTGGTGCCAAAATAAATTTACTGTTTTATTCCATTCCCCATGTGCTTTTTTAAGTCCCCTTGTATTTGCAGAGAGGGAGATAATAAGAGTATGAATCACTTATGTAGCTGGAAGACTGATGGAAATGGCATCCAGGAACAGCAGGGAATCCAGAAGCACCCAATATTATAGCATCACAAAATCCACAGTAAGAATCTCCAGGGAGTAACAGATGCACTAGGGCTACACCCCAGACTTTCCATGCTAACTTCAAGGACTGAGTAGTAAAGTAATTGAACCTCCAAATTAGCTCCCTCTCTTGAAAAACTAGTTGTAAATGCTATTTATTTATACTTATACTCATTTTATCAGAAAGGCAGAGAGACAGACAGGGAGAGACCTCTCATCCACAGGCTCATTCCACAAATACCTACAACAGTTGGGCCTGGGCAAGCTAAAGTCAGGAGCCAGGAACTCCAGCCAAGTCTCCCACGTGGCTGTCAGGGACCAAGGACTTGCGTGATCATCTGCTGCCTGCCAGAGTGCACATTAGCAGGAAGACAGAATTGGGAGCAGAGCTGGGACTTAAACCAGGCACTCTAAAATGGGATATAAGCATCCCAAGGGGTTGCTTAAGCAACTATGCCAAACACTAGTCCCCCGAAAAAAACTAGTTTTAAAATCTATCTGGTGGTTGAATATTTCCAAAAGAAGAGAAATTTAGTTTTTTACTGGTTTTAGAGACAATCAGTAATCAAACACATTACATTAGTATGTTTCGAAAAGCATTTTAGTCTAGTCACATATTCAACTGCTTTCTAACAAAAACAGCCAGGTATTAAAATCTACTTCCCTTATCATTCCACTTCTTGAACTTCCTTGTTTTATTGTGTATTGTATATGATTAAATGCAGTGTTATTCATGGTAGAATTATTTATTTGAAAGGCAGACCAACAGACACAGAAATCTTCCATCTGCTGGTTTGCTCCCTAAATGGCTGCCAGGGCTAGGGTAGGCCAAAGCCAGAAGCCAGGAACTCCATCCAGGTCTCCAACATTTGTGGAAGCAGCCTGAGTCCGCACACCATCATTTGCTGTTTTCCCACACACACAAGCAGGGAGGTGGATTAGAAGTGGAGCAGCTGGTAGTCACGTTGGCATTCAGATATGGGATGCTGGTATCGCAAATTGCAGTTTCACTCCAGTGCACCACAACACTGGCCCTCCCAAATTTTTTTATATCTAAATTATTTATTATTTTATAAGTTAGGGATCCCCTATGAACTCATTCTTTCATAAAACGTTCAGAACCTTCTCTTCAGTGACTGATAAAACATTTAAAGAAACCCTTTATAGGTTGTTTTTTAACATCATCAAACTAGGATTCCTCGGAGACAGTAGTGTTTTAAGCTCCAGCTGTTATGTTCTCGTCAGGTGATGAGCAGCTCTCCTCTTCAGGATCTGCTTATCACACTGTATTTTTAGAAAGC